TTGGGAGATTCCGCCTTAGCAATATTGAGCTCTTTGACGAAGCCAGATTGGAAACGGTATGTGGTTGCAGACGCTTTAGCCAGCCAGGACACACCAGCGAACCAATACGATGTGGAAAGGTGGCTACCGCATATGATGGTGTTACATCGTACGTTTTACCTCTGCATTCCAGTAAGACCATCACAACGTGCTAATAAGACTTCCGGCTCCCACAGACTCTGCAGCTCTTTCCAAAGATAACACCATGCTTCGCCCGCTGTGCGATGTCATTTGTGATATTACCATAGGATTCGACCTCGATTCTGAACAACCATGGCAGGATTTGGAAACGTGTGTTGCCAATGTACCCCTTCCCTGGGATCTCCAGACCTGGAAGTTTGCCCAAGCAGCTAGCTTTTGCCTCACCTCACAGTTGCTGGCCAGAACCACCCTACGCCAGCTTGAAAAGCCTCCTCAACGTCTTTGCACTGTCCAGTGGCTTCGTCTCACCGATCATCAGGGTCACAACATCCGGACTGAAGACGACTCTGTCCAACACATGGCTATGCTTCACGCCCTTGCAAATCGAGCTGTTGGTTTCTTCCATGAAGAGCTTCAGTGGGCCCTTTCCAACAATGCAACACACGGCGCAAGCACGGCTGGGCTCATGGCTCTGCCGACTATCTCGACTCTTCCAATTCCTACACACTCTCCACCAGTACCTCTGGTCCCAGAAGCACTCGAATCATTCAGCACATGCCATCTTCCCATGATGACTGACCCAAGCTTCTTCTTAGACGACGAGTGGACAGGGTACGCTTTCTCGAATGCGGAAAACATGCCTTTCGATGGGATTGGGGGCCACAACCTCGAAGTCGCATCCAATCGCTTAGATGAGCTGCCTAATCCTCATTTTCCTTTCCGAGTCGAGCGGTACATACGCTTTCAGTTTGTAAATGAATGGGCAGGTGGCAGCCAATACTTACTGGAATCGAACTGTTATCACTCGCACGGTCGCATGGACATGCTTAGAGTAATAGTGAACAAGGTCAACGGGCATCTGAAGATTGCGCATAGACACCCTCTCCGGTCGGATTGGGCAGTGCTGGATGCAGTGATAACGCCTTTCGGGATCGTTGAATCGTTTGGAAGGAGGGCTATGTGGGGTTGGTACTGGAAATGCAGCTGGTCGTCAGCCAACTGACTGTATTTACTTGGTATTATTAACGCAGTGGATTCTTCCTCTCTAAGTTAGAGGTGTCGTGCCACGCCGTAAAAGATGGCCCCCGCCTTCAAGGCGCGAAGGCGACGACGAAATTTGGAATTTTACTAAAAGCGGTGCTGGGGAGGTAGAGAAAAACTGACTGTATCTACTCTAAATAGTGCAGCACAGGTATCTAGATGTGGATAAAGTTTCACTACTTTGAAGTCTAAGTACCTGTGATTTTCTCGCTACGGAGTACTTCTCGCTACGTGGTAAGGGATGTTACGGCTTCACGCGCTGCTCGACTTTCTCCAGCCAGCGCTTTGACATACGCTATACTTACTTTAGACTACCTCCCGCCGAACGTCTTACAAGGCCCTAAGCTACTAGATAACGTTACTTCTATATCGCTAGTAACTAATTCTGTGCTAGTACGGATTTATTTGCAAATTTCTTTTTTATAGTGAGAGGTCCTAAACGGCCATAAAGACAAAGGGTAGCAATAGGCTCGTACAAGGCTAGTAATATATCCATCAGTTTTTGCTATTTATAGCAGTATTAGAATCAGCCTAACTAAGTAGCAAATATTATAACTCATAAAAATAGCATATGCTATAGTAAAGAAGAGATAAACTATAGAAAATTAGACTAGCTATAGCTCTAATAAAACTTCGCACACTCGAATTTCGTGTTTCGTCACTGCACCTCGCATCTCGACTTCTTCATTGCCGCCCAGCACCGTGAACACCATCTACAAGCAGAATGGCGTCGGCGTCCGGATCTAGGGATCCCCCTCGTCAACAGCGTTCCTCAAAAGATAAGAAGGCATGGCGAAAGGTGATGGAAGATGAGGAGACGCTCAAGGAGCTCGAGGCCGAGTCGAAAGCGTCGGTATGTGGGCGTACTACGAGCCGCACGACTACATAAACTCACTCCGCTAGGTCTTCTATGATTACAGTGCTCCTGGCACGCTGAAAGCGTGTCAATTGGCCCGTGCGCGATTCGAAGACTTCGTCGAGGAGAAGTTCAGCGTAACCCAAGAGTCAGAGATTTGGAACGCAGAGACTATTACGGATCGCACAAAGCAGTCTCCGAGTGGGCTAGCCCGTTCATCCAAAGGCCTATTCAAGGACAGGGTCAAAGCCTCCACGCTTTGGTCTACGAAGCATTGTCTGTGCTGGTGGGCCGTGCGATTTATTCTGAAATTCTCTCACGTATTCCACGAATGCCACGCTAGTGTCACTGTAAGTTTGCGTCAATTTCACCCGCAAGTATCGGATACTCTTTGCTAATTTCTTCATAGGCTCACATCCACTGGATCGCTGTAGAACACAGCCTTACAACTGACTTCCACGAGAAAAATACTCTAGGGGATGCAGAGCTAGCGCTCATGTTCCAAGAGATTCAGGAGCAGAAATACGGTGTTGATAATTAGCAGCAGCATTACGCCGCTATGCTGATTGCCTGGACGATTGCTGCTCGCCCAGGCTCGTTCACAGTATGTCGTAGTTACAAGAAAAGATCTCGCATTAGTGTATGTTGCAAACAAGACCCACATACCCTTGATGAGCATTGCTGACCTTCTACTTAGACATCGAGTAAAATCCAACCCTTCAATCAAACCTTACGCTGTAAGGGTGTAACCTTCGTCTACACCGCCTCTGGCATCAGCGCGAGGGTTAAGTTTCAGTTTTATAAGGGTCATCTCAATCTGCACGATGAAGAGGCAATGGGAGACGAGTCGAGGTTCTTCATTTTCCTCCGAACGCTTGGAAATCAATACGAATTTGACTTGGCACTCATACTGTTCGGTTTGGCATACAAGCGTGGATTGTTCAAAGGTCGGACACTTGAGAAGATCCTTTCTGGCGACGAGAAGTTTCTCCCTAAAGATCCTGACGCTGATGAGCAACCCGTGTTTGTAGCAGCTACACACTCTGTAGGTATCAACACCTCGAAGGCGATGCGCGTAAGCGCACTCAACGATAAAATGCACCAGCTGTGCCTCAAGATTGGTTTACTCCGACGCTACACCTACTACACTTTACGCCGAGAAGCGATTATTGCGACGCGTCAGACGCTCGGGAGCGAGGCTGCTCGTGATCTTGCATTTCACAGGTACGTACATCCGCACCTTGGCCGCGATAATTAGGCTTTTGACCTATACATTCAGGTCCCTATGCATGTTATATAAATTTAACTAATTATATTCTCTAATTACAGGCTAGGCAGTAATGCAATATGTGCGTACGGCGTTATTGGCGTTAGCGATATAGATATAACAGCGCAACAGCTAGGTAAGATAGCTTCTATAACTCACGAAGAAATACGCGTGCTGTTTAGTAAAGTAGAGCAGTATAAATCTAGCAAAGAACTTAGACTAGAGATTAAACTTTAATCCCGCGTAAAGTAATTACGTCCGCAGAACCTACGCTTTATACAGGTGGAAGAGTAACTGCACGAGCTATACAACTAGCTATACACAAAGCTAGCTAACCTTAAGCGCGAAGGCGTGGTCCCTAAGGAGGTCTAGATTATGCTTAGTTCTTCCTCGTAGAAGGTTGCTATATATAAGTGTAAGTATCTTATATCTTCTACATTCTCTTAATATCTAATAATCTAATATATGCATGTAGCGCTTGCTAAGAAATACAGCCTAGACAATAACTTAGCGGAGCTTGTTAACCTTCTTTAACATTGCAAGACAGTTCACAAGTCTGTTTCGCGAGAGATCATTAAGGCCGAAAGAGGTGGAAGCTTTGGCAAAAACGGGCACGAGCAAAGCATCATGTCATCTGCCTAGTCGAGGATATAAGCCTTCTCTAGTTAAGTCAAAAAAGAAGCCCAAAAAGCAAAAAGAAAGCGGTTGTTTGCATCGGCCGGGAATCGAACCCGGGGCTAGCCGACAGTCTTGACGCCAAAGTCTTGGCAACGGCTAATTTTACCACTAAACCACCGATGCGCTGACTAAGCAACCCAGGGGGCCACTGATGGGAGGATTATGCGATTGCACTTGCCATTGAAAATTTTGCCCTAATTCATTATATAAAGAGAACGTGGCTTAAGCTATTAAAAACTGTGTGTGGGGTAATATCAGTGCGACAAGTCAAGGGTGCATCACAAGCGAGACCGACAGTGGCGAACAGTGCTAAAGTGACCAGTCATTACAACCACATTATTATTCCATTAAACTTCTATCGTCCTTGCGAATGGAATACCGCCTAGTACCAGATTCAAGAAGAATTCCTGCCAGTGACTTCCCAGGCTCAACCGAACCATATGAATAGATCCTTTAACCGAGGCACGACTGGCAACGGCTAATTTTACGGACAAACCACCGATGCGATCGATAGCTGACAATCCCACACTGGCAACGGTTGACGAGCGCTGAAACCCCACACTCCCAGTGTAGTACAAAATATCTCTCATCTCCCGCAAAACTCCCCCAAACACACTCGAGCATCGGTACCTAGCGTTCTCCCTAGGGTTTTCTAGAAACCTTGAATATCAAATGCCATGTTTCAACAACTGCCTCACGTCCCGCCCCGCGGCCAAATCTAAGCTCGAACCGTCTTGGGCTCTCGCACAAACTTGCTACAAAACCTCACGATTGCCTCATCCGTCCGCCATCTTTCGCCCGCCAACCATGATCCCTAAATATAAGGGACCAGGTCCACCTTTTCGCATGAAATGAAAAGAGAGCAGCCCAAACCACTGGAGAAAACTCCGCAAAGGACCGATTGCGCATCCGTTGCGTTCCGCCCGCTTTATGCCATACCTTCGCGCCTATGGTGTTCGGTGTCGGCGCTTTTCGCTGACGATGTGAGATTTAGCTGAAACTGCGACGGAACGTTGCAGCGTTGGGGGGTTGTATTTATATAGGAAAGGGTGTCTACTTCTTATTGTTTGGAATTATATCGTTCACTTCTTATCGTTGCGGTTCGTTCAAAACAATACTTTTATTTTTATTCTTTACGCCCCACTTCCTTTCATTCACTCGTTCAATCAAGACTTTATCAAAATGTTCACGTCGTCGCTATGGCTCCTGTCCAGTCTTTCTCTCGCCACTTGTGCGAATATTGTGTGGGATGGAAGGGTCCCTGCTAATGCAACACTGGCGGACTTCGATTCAGAGACTGGAATCTTCGACCCGGATAACGTCAAGGGACAGAGTGCGTTGACATCTCAATAACGACCAATATCTAGAGCTCTAATAACCTAAAATGCAGACCTGAGTTTCAGCAAGATCGTGCGCTTCGCCGAGGGCGGTGCATCTCTGGTAACTTCCCTTTATCCATCAGATATCGCTCACATAGCTAACCATCCCCAGTTCGACACCCCCGTCAAGGCAAAACCCATCGAAGTAACCATCGAGTACACAACCCCTGCCCCCCTTCCCCTAAACCACACCCACTAACCAAACCACAGTGACAAATCCATCTTCGCTCCCGGCGGCTCCAACCCCCAAACCGCCGTCCGCCGCATGGAACTCGTGCCCAACCCGGCGACCTCACCCGCGGACAACGCCACTTCCACGGGCGTGAAAACGTTACACTTCTCCATCAAGCCCAGTGCCGAACGGCCGCTGAACATCAGCCATGAATACCTCATGGTCTTCATGGAGCGCGCCGACTTCAGCGCCAACCAAGTCTCCCTGAAAACAGGGACGCTGATTGGAAGCGACGGCGCCACGAAAAACGACCTTCAGATCTTGGGGAATAGTGCGAATGGAAGCACACCGCTTTTCTCTACGCCGTTTACTGAGGGTGTTTTTACTAACTTTGCGTTGCTTATGGATTTTAACAAGAAGTATGTCACCGTCGAGACCCTTACCTTCCCTTCCCTAAGAAAATCTCGAGGAAACAGAATTGACAAAATATCCAACAGCACCGTGCAGGTCTTCTCTTCGACCGGTAACAACGCGCTGGTGAAGCAGACAGAGGCGCTTCCGAACGATCTCAGCGGGAACGGGCAGTTGCACTTTGGGCTGAATAAGAACCCGACGAATCCGGGGGCGGACTCTCTAAGGAGTGGGTTTCAGGCCAGTGGGATTTTGGAGGGGGTCATTTATGGGGGAATCTTGGTTGCGGATAGTGCGAATGGGAGCAGGGCTCAGTGGAGGGTTTAGTAGAAAGGAGGAGGGAACGCGGTGGACGGGGTGAGAAGTATGGGTAGTCATGGGATGAGCAATTGAAATTTCACGTCTAAGAATAGCTGTAGAGGAGATAGAAGGTCACATACATTCTGGCTAACGTATACTTGTGGGGTACTGTGTAAATAAATTCATGTTTTGGCTGCACTGTTCCTGATAGCCCTGTTCAATAGCCAAGTAGTCGTACGAGAATGTAAGAGTTCATGTTCACCTCGAGGTGAGGATGCGTTAATGCATCCGGCTATTCTTCACTGCCGCTAACAAGGTCAACAGGCTAATACCGGTAGTCAACCACAGGACTTGGACCAACCAGATGACTAGGCCCCGCATGCTCTGGTAATACCCATAGCGATATAAGGTTTGTATGAATTCTCTAAAGTGTTTGTGGTCAGCAGCCCCCAATGGCCTCTCGAAATGTAACCTTTTAGTTTCCCCACACATTCTCTTTTCGAACATTCCATGCACCCCACAACGCCACCAGCACAATGGGAAAGCTTGGCCCTCATCTGGAGAGATCTGCGATACGAAGCTTAGTCTGGCAGTCTCCACAATCCGCCATGCCAAGCTGGGTAGAATACGTATATACTTCTCGAACGGCTCAAAGGAAGAAGGTATACTTGGATTCAGTAACCAAAGAATATGAAGACCCAAAGTTGAGAGATTATTCCATCAATCATTATGCTCTGTTTGTATGAAGAGTAATTCGGAGAGATGCAGAAGGCTGCATCGTGAGTGAAGCATACCAGGTAACAACGTGCTTGTGCTCACCATTCTTTCGGATGAGACTCGGAGTTTTCAGATTCAGATATGCAACGCCACTCGACGTATCGACATTTCCCATCGAGATGCTAGAATGCGATATGCTTCGCGAAGTCTTCTAGAATCTGCCGATCGCAGTTTGTCAAGCTGAACAGACGATCTTGTCGCCTCCGCAATCTCAATATGCCAACAGTACCAATGATATCCTCATAACAGAAACATCGTGGCGGAACAGGATATCTGGAGCCTTCGCTAAGAAGTCTTGATTTAATTGAACTATAATCATACGCGCGAGGCTCACTTGCCCATGTCGAGGTCATCTACTCTGATTTTACCGCCGGGTCTGGGGATCAAAGCGTAGTCTCCAATCAACAACGACAGCCTGTCCTATATAAGCAGACAACAGGCGCAATCGCTACTTGCTTGATATCCGGTCCCACACTACCAATCGATCGAGACGCAAAACCTTCACCATGAAGTACTCCATCGTCCTTCCGTTCCTCGCGGTCACGGTCCTCGCGGCGCCTCTTGTAGAGCGCCAGGACGCCTGCAGTGTCCCGACAACCTTCCCATCTACGGCCAATGCTAAGCTGCCCAACCCGTTCAAGTTCTTCAGCGGCGCCGATGTCAAGACCAAGGCCGACTTTGAGTGCAAGAACAAGGAGGTCAACGCTGCGCTTCAGGCTCAGGAACTCGGTGCTTTCCCCACGACGGCAAAGACGACTGCTACCTTCTCTGGCTCATCGCTCTCCATCAGCGTCTCCGACAATGGAAAGACTGCTTCCTTCTCCGTCTCTATCAAGGGTGCCAGCGCAGCCAACTCTCCCGCCATCATTGCCTATGGTGGTGCATCCATCCCCGTCCCCGCTGGTATTGCCACCATCACGTTCAACAACGACCAGATCGGCGCCCAGTCAGGCCAGAGCTCCCGTGGCCAGGGCAAGTTCTTCGATGTGTACGGTTCCGGCCACAGCGCAGGTGCCCTGACTGCCTGGGCATGGGGCGTTGACCGTGTGATCGACGCTCTCGAAGCCACGACAGGTCACAACATCAACCCCAAGAAGATCGGCGTAACAGGCTGCTCCAGGAACGGCAAGGGAGCCTTCGTCGCTGCCGCACTCGTCAACCGCATCGCTCTCGGTCTCCCCCAAGAGTCGGGATCCGGTGGAGCAGCGTGCTGGCGAGTCTCCGACTCTGAGAAAGCAAAGGGCAAGAATATCCAAACCTCGAGCCAGATCGTCGGCGAAAACGTCTGGTTCTCCAAGAACTTCAACACCTTCGCCACTAAGGCGACAACGCTGGCTACCGACCACCATCAACTCGCCGGTCTCGTCGCGCCGCGTGGTCTCCTCGTCATCGAAAACGAGATTGACTGGCTCGGTCCCGTTTCGACGACGGCTTGTATGAAGGCTGGTCGCTTGATCTACAAGGCGCTTGGTGTGCCAGATAATATGGGCTTCACTGGCAGTGGGAACCATAACCATTGCTCGTTCCCGAGCAACCAGCAGGCGGAGCTGACGGCTTTTATTAACAAGTTCTTGAAGGGTGGGACGGATTCTACGGCGAATGTTGAGAAGGGGCCTGCGGCTGATGTGGCTTCGTACATTGACTGGACTGCACCTACACTCACTTAGATAGGGGAGGTTGATGGAGGGGTACTACACATTAAGTAGGGAGGGGTTTGCTTCTTGTCACTTGCAGTTTGGGTGTAAATAAGATTGACTGTATGAAAGAAAATTGAAATGAAGAGACGAGTAATCCTCGACCTCGAGAAAAGAGAGAAACGGTTGTTTGACGTGTAGTGCAATACTTGCGATCAGCGAGAGGAAAGCAGGGAAGTGCACAGGCTATCGCGCTGTGTACCAGAGAGGGGTTGCACCACCACATATCAGAGGTTCCTCACAGCGACATCCAGTCCTTAGACTTCATAAAAGAGCGCTGTATCGAGAAGATGGAACAGTATCTCGGATGATAATGACGTTTTGGATAAAATCTGAGAGATGATGTCGCAGCGTGCCCGCGATGAGGACTGTTTATGGTCAGTTTGGATA